GAAATATTCTTTCCTCTTCATTAAAAAATCGTTCATCTGAGATTGTGAGAATAAAAATGGCACAGAACCAGTAGGGGAAGAACGTGGGAATGATGTTGCTTCTGCCTCTGTGTAACATGGGGGGGGTGCCCTCCCCTCTCTGTAGATCATTTTCCCATCTGTACTTATCCACGCATCCGTTAATGCAAGGGAGTCACAAAGATCTACGCATGCCTAATACATGCTAGGCACTAGGCTAGATGTTAGAGTCAGAATAATAAATGAAACACACCTGAAAAACCAATGGACTTGAAGTTGATAGTGTTCTCTATATTTATTCTATTTAATCATTCAAATCACTACCATCAAGTGAGCCAATTCCAATATATAGCAATCCTATAGGACAGAATAGAATTGCCCCTGTGGATTTCCAAGGCTGTAAATCTTTGAGTCTCATGTTTCTCCAAAGGAGCAACTGAGCTCATGAGTAGAAAAGTGAAGGCACAATTGGAAAAGCCAGCTATAGCTTCCTGTCCTTTCTCCAGCCCTATACATGCTTTGTACATACCTTCTTCTCTTTCATGTACTATTTCAGTATCTGATAGCTCACATTTATGATCATTATAAACATATGTATTTATATATATTTACTTGTATATATATATACTTGTGGTAGTTACATGATCTGTTGCCAATTTGAGACTTACGAGTGAAGGGGTGGGATTTACCTGTCAATCAGGCCGCAGCTTGATGACCACATTTGAGGCATGAAGGAGATAAATAGCTCATTGGAGGCGGGACACATACTCATTCCTTGAGAGACTCTAGACTGACAAGAGACTTGGAGCGAGGCTGTGGGCAGCAAGGGCCCTGGACCTGGAAGAGCCATGTGGAGACCCACGCCAGCACTGAGATGCTTCCACCATTACTGGATCCACAGGATTATCCACCCACTGGTCTGTGATCTTCCTGCACTCAGTGTCATTGCATGTGTTTCATGAGTCTGAAGAGGACTTTATGGATTGGTATCGGGCATGTGGGCTAATATCAGACTTACGGACTTGATCTGGACTGGGCTGGGATGTTTTCTCAATATTCAATTGCTCTTGAATAGAAAGCTCTTTCTTATACACATCTGAGTGTCTCGGGTTTGTTTCTCTAGTTTACCCGGACTAACACACTACTGTAGGACTGTTTTGTGCATTAACAATATAAGGACCCCTGGTAGTGTTGTGGGATTGGGTTGGGCTGCTCACCCACAGCTGTTTGAAACCTCCAATTGCTCCAGGAAGGAAAGATGAGGCTTTCTGTTCCTATAAATAGAGTCTCACAATGGATGGATGGATGGATTGTGATAAGAATTGTATGAGCCCCCAATAAAATGATTTTAAAAATTAGTTATAGTCTCACAGTGGCAATTCTACTCTGTCCTCTAGGGTCACAATGGCTCAGAACAGACTTGATGGTAGGTTTAACAATATATGTCTGGTAGTGATAAATGACAATGCGGTGCTAGGCAAGAGTAACATTGGCTGTGATGATTAAAGTGACATGTCAACCAAGCCAACCTTGAGGTTAGCAGTCCAATACTCAATCCACTATGCCTCCAGGCTTCTGTATTAGCAGATAGACCAGAAATAACCTGCTTTCAATTGATCTCAGTAGAAGGGGATGGCAGGGTTCAATCAATCATCTTAAAATTAGTCAACAGTTGATCTTGTCTGTTTCTTCTTCCTTATCTCTTTATAAGCACAATCGTACCTAACTTCTTTGAGCCAGTTGCTTTTTGGGGAATCAAAATGGCCTCAAGATAAGCATATAGAATAACTGTTTGGAATAAACATTATATTAAAATGTCCATATGTATTTTATGTATTAATCATACATGAAAATGACTCATGAAATATTCTCATGCTGTATTCAGCCAAAGTCAATTGAATTAGAATGGAATGGAGTGAACAGGTATCAATATACAGGTAGTCCCCAACTTACAACATATTTGAGTTACCGTGAACCATACTTATGACTATCTTTTTTTCTTTTATTCTCTTTCTCTTTTGACAAACTTTGTCATTAGTAATATGTACAACACACACTGCTGCCGTGTGTAATCTGCTGATGTCATCATTCTTATGCCAGCACCTCAAGACAAATAAAGTTCATATTTATAAAGATTCTGACTGTGGTAGTTACGTTTTTTCATGTCAACTTGAAGATATATAAAAGTGCAGGGGTAGAATTTAGTCTGTCAATCAGATGACTCCTTGTGGGCATGACCTTCACATGGGGACCTGGGAACCTCCCCCTCTCTCTTTGCCTTTACCTTCCTACTGTCACTCAGAGAGCTGCCAGAGGCACTGCCATTGGATCCACATGACCTTACACCCACTGGCCTATGATCTTCCCGCATTCTGCATCATTGCATGTGACTGTGAGTCTGAAGAGGGACTTACGGACTAGTATCAGACTTATGGACTTGCGTTGGGCTGGGCTGGGATGTTTTCTCAATATTCAATTACTTCTTGGTATAAAGTTCTTTCTTACCCGTATATGAGTGTCACTAATTTATTTCTCTGTAGGAAACAGAAAAATTTCTCCCAAGTTGTCTCCCCCAAATATATGTCAGACTTAGGACACTGCTTGCAGCTAGTGGTAAATGATTGTCAAGTTACCTCCTTGAAGGCAGTCAGTTATCAGAAAACTGTCTGGGCCCACCACAGGTAGGCCCCGCTTCCTGCTGTTTAGGACAATGGGCTACTTCTCCCTAAAGGCTTGCAACCATTAGTCTGGTCCCTGTAGATGAGGTTTACATCCTACTGATAATGGTTTCTATAGTGAAGCAGAGAACAGGTCAAACCTGCTCAGTGACATCCAAAGTTAGGCTGCCATCCTGAGTCCAGGATCCACCCATCTTGTCACATGTGTGCACCCAATCCCTCCCCTTCCTATGGTGTGTATATCCCAAGTTTGTCCCCCTCTCATTGTTGTATAACCTATAGTGCAACTCCTTCCTGTGACATATGGCTGTACCTGTAATTAGTGGGCTTGCACACCCCCAAAGATATATAAGCCTTGGTTAGTCATAAAGATCCTCCTTGGCCTCTCTGCACTCCCCATTCTTCTCCCCCAACCCTCGCTCCCCTGTCCCCTTTCCCCTTGTCCTCCTTCCCCTCCCCCCCTTCTCCTGCCCTCCAGTCTCCCATCTCCATGTGGACCACCAAGCGGGACTGGGGTGAGCATGTTACCATGAAATGTGTCTGACTCCATTATTTCAATCTCTCTTCTATCTCTCATGCTCTCGATGACTTTATTATAATCTTTATATATACATATCTTAAACTGTACAATTGTGCCTATCAAACCTGTGATTAGTTGTGGAGGCTGGCCTTTCCCCCACATTTCTCCAGTCATCATGGCCTAACAAACTGGCCATAAAAGGCAATAGTAATAAAACCAAAAAAGAAATGGGTACTCAACGTAAAAAGTCAGCACTTATTTACAATGGAGTCATTTGAATGGGATGCCATCATCATAAGTTGGAAACTATCATAATTCTAAAGCTCCCCAGAAGATGTTCTTATGCAACCAGGGGGGTTTGGGTTGTTTTTTTTAAATCATTTTACTGGGGGCTCGTACAACTCTTATCACAATTCCATCCATCCATCCATGCGTCAAGCACTTTTGTACATTTGTTGCCATCATCATTTTCAAAACATTGTCTTTCTACTTCAGCCCTTGGTATCAGCATCTCATTTGTCCCCTCCCTCACAAACCCTTGATAATTTATAAATTATTATTATGTTTCATGTCTTACACTGACCAATGTCTCTCTTTAGCCACTTTTCTGTTGTCCATCTCCCTGGGAGGGGTTATATTTAGATCATTGTGATCAGTTCCCGCTTTCTCCCCCTACCTTCCCTTAGCCTCCTGGTATCTCTACTCTCAATACTGGTCCTGAGGGGTTCGCCTGTCCTGGATTCCCTGTGTTTCCAGCTCTGATCTGCACCAGTTTCAATGCTTTGGTCTAGTCAGATTTGTAAGGTAGAATTGGGCAACCAGGGTTTTAAAGAGCAGTATTTTGAAACTACTTTATTCTTTACAAAAGTCCCGGTGACCATGAACATGTAAGCAAACAGACTTTTGGACGTGCAGGGATACATATTTGTATCTCACACTCTATCTTGCCAACACGTGCATTTCTGGAAGAAGGGCCCTCTGGAGAAGAGCCCTAATGATAGAACTATTCAGAACTCGGCGGCTACCTAGAAGATTGGCAGCTGATGCAACCCAGCGGCTCCACAGGAGAGAGACCTGGCGATCTTCTCTGGTAAAGAGTATTCCTTAGAAAACCACATGGGGTGGTTCTCCTCTAGCACGTGGAATTACTATGACCTGAAATGGACTCCAGGCCTCCTGGGAACAATAACAGCTCCCTGGAGGTTATTGTGATAGCCCTTGGAAGCTCACCTGGAGTCTTCCTAATCACCCATAGCTCATCTATCAAGAACGGCCAAGTTTGTAGACGCATTTCACCTTGCCCATGTGGAACTAACCCCAGAGGTCGTTCTCAGATTGAACAAAAGGAAAGAAAAGTCGCTGTGTCCGTGCCTCCCTTTTCATCAGCTCAGTTAGAGCTTCTTGCTAATTTTGAATTCCTAACTTCATAAGAATCACCCCAGATCTTTTTTTCTTTTCAATTACACACTCTTTTCTCAATCCCGGATTTCCCAAGGTGAGAAGTGGTTTTTTTGTTGTTGTTGTTTTTAATGTTTACAAAGATATTTAAACACAACAGGAGTGCTGATCTTAGTCAAGTTAGCATTCACAACCCCATTTCCCAAATGTTCTCCTATGTGCCAGTAAAAAAATGCAGAAAGCCAAGAGTTTCAACATGACTTCATTTTGATTGGACTTCAGGTCCTAAGAGTTCAGTTTAGCAAAACACTGACCTCCCGCAGACCAGCAGCGACTGTCCCTCCAGTCCTCTGCCCCTTTGCAAATACATGTGATCACAGGGTGCAGAGAAAATTCAACATCGTCAAAAGCAACCTGGCCATTCCACTGGCGTCAGTCTGACAGTCAGCATGTCTGCCGGCGGGGCGGTTGCCATCGCAATATGCGTTTTACAAATAAGTATCCTGGCAGCACAGTCTATTCTAAGGTAAGTCAAGTGTTTGTCTGGATCTGGAAATTCACTGTGAGATTTGTCATTTCAAGATCTAGTCCTTAGCCACAGTGACAGATGTAGCCCCTGAATTTGGAAAAGGGTAAAAAAAAAAAAAAATCCAGCGGGGTCAACTCTGAAAGTCTTCTAAGAAAACCTCCTGTTGTTTCTAAGGATTTCTTTTAAACAAGGGTCAATATGAAGACTGAGATTTGGTTGTGTGTGTGTGTGTGTGTGTGTGTTTTAATATACTTGGAGTTAAGAAATATACCTGGCTTTGTAATCTAGATGGATTGGAGTCTGTATGATACATTGGAGTCTCAGAAGTCCAAATTTAAGGAATTCAGTATTTCCCTCAGTCTATTCAAGGGTCAACACTTTTGACTATTGCTTGAATAGCCTTTTGCCCCCACATTAGGGAAACATTGATCATTTTGCTTCTCTTTGCCTCCCCAAGTTGTGTCTAGAGGCACACAGTTTGCTCTTGAATTTAGGGTCTTTGGCTAAGGTTGGGGGACAGGGTGGAGGAGGAAGAGGTGGGGCAGCCAGGATCTCATTTCTTCCACTTTAGAGGAGTCATCAATGTATACACCTGCTAGTCGCTTTCCCAGAAAGACTCTTGCTTCCACTCCCCTTCTTCATACCTAATTAGGAAAGTATAGTCCAGCGGTTCTCAACTGGTGGGTCGCAACCCCTTTGGAGGTCAAATGACCCTTTCACAGGGGTCACCCGATTCATAACAGTAGCAAAATTACAGTTATGGAGTAGCAATGAAAATAATGTTATGGTTAGCGGGTCACCACAACATGAGGAACTGTATGAAAGGGTCACAGCATTAGGATGGTTCAGAACCACTGGTATAGTCCATGGCAAAGCCATCCAGAAAATAAATCAACTGAACTATAAGTGTTTTTTGAGCTCTTACCGAACCCAGAATAGCTGGAGGTAGGGTTGTATAATGGAGCCTAGTAGATCAATGTTCAAGCCTTGACTGCCAACCCCACAGTTGGATGTCCTGAGTCTAGTAGGAGAAAGATGGGCCAGCCTGTATCTGTAAAGATTTTCAGTCTTGGGAACTCTATGAGGGCAGTTCTATTCTAACTAGGGCCGCTAGTTCAAATCAACTTCAGGGCCCACAATAGCAAATGCAGGGATCCCAGGAGATAACTCTGGGTTGTTTAAAGAGTTAAGCAACCAACTACTACCTAAAAGATTATTCATTCAAAGGCTCTTGACTGGCCATCTGCATCCAAAAGGTCACAGAATGAAACATCTCTAAAGTAAAGCTCTGAACTGCAGATGTTCACCCTAAGTCAGGATTGGTTAGGCAGCAGCTGGATTCTGGTTCAAGGTCGGGCTCCTTCCACTTAGAAGCAACAGAAGAAGATATTAACCCGAAGGCTCAATACTGAGCCTTACTAGACAGAATAGTCCAGAGTTTGGCAGTACAGTTGGAGAGAAACACCTGCCCCAATACTATTCCTCTCCTCCATGCAAAACTATAACCTACGTCCAAATTTCTTCTGGTCATTTGACTCCTGGTTTACCCAAATTCTGTCCAGGACTTGGATATTCATCTCTAGCGACCCCTTGCCTATATTTTGGTTGCAAGTGGAGGCTGCCACTCAGGCCAGGCTCCACCGTCAAGTGCTTACCTCTCAGTTGCATATACCACAAGGAGACACTCAAAGGTGCCAAAAAGACCCAGAGGGGCTCTGGATCAAGTGCTTAGCCCACCTTCCCTTCATTTCATCACTCTGCTCCCCACGTTCTCTGGGAAACATTGTTGCATTCAGATAACATTTTCACACCCTGGGTATCCCTGATGGAGGATTTGGAAATATCCATCCATTGTGATCCATAGTGACCCTATGGAACAGTGCAGAACTTCACTTGAGGGTTTCTGAGATGGAAAATCCTTACAGAAGCAGACAACCTCCTCTTTCTGTCTTGTAGTGACTGCTGGGTTTGAACCACCCACCTATGGCTAGCAGCCAACTGCTTACCTGACAGCAACACAAGGGTTTTTAATTCGAGGAGATAGCTGCTGGAAATCATTTTAGTCCTCTTGTGCTTTAACCTGTCTAAAAACATAATAATAATTTCAACAACTCATGTTCTGAGATTGTGGGTCCTACCAATCAAACATGAGAGGTTATCGGCCACCCACAGTCGGCTCAGACAGGACCAGAAGTGCCCCCATGGCAGCCCCTGAGCTCCAAGCAGCTACAATGATATTTGCTTTGGCATTTGGTGAATTTCTCAGGGTGCCCTGCTTTGAACAAGCTGAACTCTTTGTCTTCTGGTATCAGGCCAAAAGCAAAAATGTTGTGTTCAGATCGATCATGACATGTGACAAGGAAAGTGTTTGAACAATAGCTGAAGAAGGAAAGTTTACAAGTCATTTCTGAAAATGCAAGCTTAATCAGAATGGAGTCAGTTCCGGAGCTAGATTCCCTGAGCTCGCCATGAGGCCGCATCACTTGCAATGAGTAGACTTGAGCAAGTCTTCTGACCTCTCTGTGCCTCTGTTCCCCCACCTGCAAAATGGTGATCAGGGTACCGAAAAGCAAACCCGCTTCCGTTGAGTTCACCCCGAATCAGAGTGACCCCGTGCATGAGCAGGGTCCTCTTGGCTATATGGTCTTCATAGAAACAGACCCCTGGACCTTTCTTTCCTGGCGTATCCCCGGGTGGGTTCGAAGTGGCAACCTTTAGGCTCAGTTAGAGCTTCTTGCTAATTTTGAATTCC